TGTACAGGAACATCACTTACAGAAACGGGAGCCGTTCACGGCTTTAACTATAGGCCTGTTAATGGCTGCAGGGGCAGCTGGAACAGGAACAGGTATCGCCTCACTGGTCCAACAAGATCGAAAATTCCGAGCCTTGAGGGTAGCTGTAGATGAAGACTTAGTAAAACTTGAAAAATCTATCAGTGCCCTGGAGTCCTCATTAAGGCCATTATCTGAAGTGGTCCTACAAAATAGACGAGGACTAGACTTAACGTTTCTGCAACAAGGGGGGTTGTGTGCTGCTCTTCGAGAAGAATGTTGCATGTATGCAGATCACACAGGAGTGGTCCGCGACACTATGACTAAACTCCAGGAGGGATTAGAGAAAAGGAAAAAGGAGAGAGAAATGCAGCAAAGCTGGTACGAATTGTGGTTCAAGCACTCCCCTTGGCTCACCACCTTATTATCAACAATGGCTGGACCACTCATTTTGTTAGTTTTAGGACTTACTTTTGGACCATGTATTTTTAATAGATTAATCACCATAGTTAAGGGGAGGTTGGAAGCAGCACATTTGATGCTAATTAGAAGTCAATATGAGCAACTTAGAGAGGGCGAATTGCAAACTGAAGAAGCCCCTATCTTAGAAAAGGCAAAAGAGGCAGGCGATTTGATGAACAAAATGGGGAAAAGAAAAGGGGGGATTGTGATAAAAGACACGTGTTTGTTAATCAAATCTTGCTTACGCTAGTAGAAAAATTAGATGTCGACCTTGAATCGGGAAGGAGGAGGCCTTGCATTAAACACGCATCCGGTAATGTAAACAATGATTGTGACGGCTTTGTGCTTACGTAAGATAAACACGCATGTGTCAAGCTGTCAAGCGAGGGGCACGGGACGGTCACAGAAGGAAGACTCGGGGCCTTCATCCCAGCGACCACCAGGAGGTAGAAAAAGACCCCCTAGCAACAGGCCGGAGCAGACGCAGAGTACACCAAGGCAGACACATATACCGGAAATAGAGGACTATAAAAACTGTGACTCCGGGGAAGGGGGTCGCGAGCCGTTGGCGGAGCAGTGGCTCCCCGCCAACCCAGCGCTGTTCTGCCGATTTACCGCTTGCTTAATAAATAACTTTTTATTCTTCACTGATAGCGGAATAGACTCCACAACTTGGTTAAAGTTGTAAAGTAGGTATGCTTTATTCAGCTGAAGACGCACGGGGGATTGGTCCTCCAAAAGGCATGCGTGCCTCAGTGCCGTTTTCCTTTTACATTTATCCTGTAAAGTCATACATAGGTATTAGGTCGCACAATACGCCTATACATATTCATATTCTATCCCCGCTTCGTATTATAATGAGCTAAAAGGCTCTCCACGCATGCGCAGTGCCTCCTGGTGGTCTTGGGCAGGGGTCTTCAGATGAAGTAAGTAGTCTTCCTCTTGTGGGTAGGGGTCTTCAAGATGAAGTAAACGAGTCTTCCTCAGGCTTGAACTTTTTACCTCTGGTCCTCACGCATGCTCTTTAGGAGCTGGATGGGTCTGGTCTATGTCTAGCTGGTTTAATGAGCTATTCCCTTCGCTAGGAAGCCTTATCTTACTGCTGCCTGATAAGGCAACTGCTGGGCTTGTCAAGCCAGCCATGATTTAAGCAGTACTCCTTGTACAACCCCCCATTCTCCTCACTAGGAGGTTTTGTTCTGGTATTTGTCTGATAAGACATCTGCTGAGCTCGTTAAACCAGCTATGACTTAAGCAGTATCCCCCTGTACATTTTGACAATCCCCCTGTACACAATAGGCCACATCAGTTTCATTCACCACAATTGCCTCCTGGACCTTTGTCCTAACTTATAACAGTTGAGACCAACCGGGGAGGAATCCGGCGGCGCAGCTTGGCCAAGCCCCGGAGAGCCCCGCTCCCGTCGCCCCCGCGCGATACTTAATGACGCTGGGCTGACTGAGGCCCAGCCACCACTTCCGCTCACCCCATCGCAGCGCTCGATCCTCTGCGCGAAAAGGTCTGACAGCAGACTGGCCGACCCCACCGCCAATCATCGTCTTCTACGCCAATTCGCCCGGAGCGCACCACTTCTTCAGAGCGGGCCAATGGGAAGGGTGTGATGGTGTAGTCATATGATGGTGTGTGGTGCTGTAGGCTGTTGTTGGCAGGGATCGTGTGTGGCGGCGGGGCAACCATGGTGAGGGTCAGCGGGGTTAGGCGGCTGTGGGAGTGCTGGGTGTAGCCCAGTTGCTGCCGTATGTGCGGGGCCCGCCCCACCTCAGCCGGTGGCCGAGGGGCAGGCCCGTTCGCCCAGGGCTGGGCTGGAGCCGGGGGCTCCTTTTCGGGAGCGCTGTCAGCGGCCGCGCCCGGCGAGCTGTGAGGGCGGGCCTTGGCTGGTTGCGGAGGCTGTAGCCGGGCTTGGGGCCCTTGGCCCGGCCCGGGTGGAGCTAAGGTGAGGGCTGGGCCTGCGGTAGCGGTTCGCGCGGTGCTGATGGCTGCTTGTGGGCCGTCGCTGCTTGTGTCAAAGCAGTCGCTGCTGTGCTGGCCTTCACTGAGTTCGCTTGTGGGGCCACAGGGAAGGTCGCAGGTCGGCGTGTTGGTTGGGGAGCCCCTGGCGCACTTGTGGCCCGAGATAAGGTGTGCTATAGTGTGCTGCTTCTGCCAGCCCCAGGCTGTGGCCCCTCTGGCGCTGTGTAGGTGCGCTTCTCTTGTCTGCATAGTAATCTCCCCCCGGGGTAGTTTCTCTCTACCTTTCAGGCCTGAGGTGTCAGACTGTCCTAGTAGACGTCTTTTCTCGCAAACAAAGTGGCTTTCCATTGCTGAACTCAGCTTCATAGAGCTTCTGGCGCACACGTTGGTGTTTATTAGAGAGGCAAACCTGAAATTTTAGCATAGAAATAGCTGTTATTGAGAAATGCTTCTTAGTTTCCAGTAAAAATAAGGGGACATTCAATTTTCCTAGTAAAACAAAGTCTGCCTGTGTCTTTTGCAGCATTTAATAATCAAACTTTAAGCAGCACTTGCTGTAACCATCAGTCTGTTAATTGACCTAAGCGTGGAATATAAACAGTAGCAATAGTATCTAGATAATGAGGCAGAAATTAACTGCATGCTTTATGAAGCAGGGATTACACAGTCTTTTGTCTTCTGGGACAGACTTTCAGCTTATGTGTATGTTATTATCAGTTTAATACTACATTCTCTAGAGGTGGAGGGGGCAAAACCTGTAATGTTATTTGAGAGATGAATGGAAAAAATTAGGTAATGCAAAATGTTAAATCTATGTAGATGCTTAAGTGCTTTTAACAAGACTGATTTTAAGAGGGCTCTGTTTGTTCTTGATCATCCCCTGATTAGAAATCCAGCCCCTTAATTCTTGTGAATGTCTTGTGATTTCCTGTGGCATTAAGTACCAGTTTAAATATGTGAAAAATATTTTTTTTCTCTGGTTCATCTTTGAGCTCCTGTACTGTGAGATAGAAGTTCTGAAGTTGCCTTGAATACTGCAGAATAATGCTTCCAATGAGGTATAAAATGCTTATGCGTTTTTGGTGAATTCCAGGCAGTTCAATGAGTTTTACGGAATTGCATTGTGTGCACCCAGGCTTCATCTGTAGCCTGGCAGCTGTCCTGATCTGCTTCTGTAGCTAACCCATCTTCTGTCTTGGGTAGTGTTCATTTTAAATGTCTTAAGGATGACTGGTTGGTAGTAGTCCTAATAAATCCAACTAGGAAGAGGCAGAAAACCTCTTTGGATAAATCTCATTCATTATGGTACTAAGCACAAGAATGAGTAGATGGAAGTAAAAGTAATGTGTGGAACAGGCTGCGAGCACATCAGTTATCTAAAGAAAAGTATTTAATAATTTGGAGATTAGATGAAATTGCACTTTGGAATGGAACAGAAGCAAAACCTTCTGCTTGTTTTATTTATACTCTGTATCCAGTTTAAGGTACCTGTATAGACACAATTCAGGCTGTTTGGTAGGCTCCATAAGCTTGCCGTAAATTCTGCTGTATTTCAATACAATGTAATTCTCTTGAGTACTGCAAGTTACCAGGTTATTAAGTGAAATTAATATCCTGAGTAGTCACACATTGACCCAAAATAATAACCATCTACAGAGTGCAGCTGAATCAAGTATGAAACTAAGTACGGATCTTATGAAGTCTTCCCATAGAGCTATTAGAAAATAAGAAAATTCTACACGATAGTATAATGTTCACTTTGTATGTTGAAGAATAGTTGCTATTATGAGGAAAGGCATGATCCAGAATTATGTTTGCTGCTGTGATAATACACTTTTCTAACTGTTATCTGCAGGATAACTTGTATTACCTACTCTGATCATCCATGCAGTAGACTTATCACAAGCTAGTTTGGTTTTTAAAATAAAATAAAATAAAATAAAAATCTTGTTTACCAAGTCCAAGGCAACTTACAGATTACCAGGCTTTAGTAAAAAAAAAAAAAAAACAACAAACCACCAAACAAGAAAACCAAAACACCCCCCCTCAAAAAATACCCAAAACCAAAAAACCCAAACAACAAAGAAACAAAACATGAAAGGACCAGAAAAGCCACCCACACCAAAAGCGAGCTCCCCTGAAGACAGGCTGAGAAAGTTGGGGCTGTTCAGCTTGGAGAAGGCTGTATGGAGACCTCATAGCAGCCTTCCAGTATCTGAAGGGGGCATATAGGGATGCTGGGGATGGACTCTTCATTAGGGAGTGTAGTGGTAGGACAAGGGTAATGGGTTAAAACTTAAACAGGGGAAGTTTAGATTGGATATAAGGAGGAAATTATTTCCTGTTAGGGTGGTGAGGCACTGGAATAGGTTGTCCAGGGAGGTTGTGAATGCTCCATCCCTGGCAGTGTTCAAGGCCAGGTTGGACAAGGCTTTGGGTAATATGGTTTAGAGCAAGGTGTCCCTGCCCATGGCAGGGGGGTTGGAACTTGATGATCTTAAGGTCCTTTCCAACCCTAACTATTCTATATGATTCTATGATTCTAATTAGGCGTTTCTGATGAGATCGTTATTGGTGTCATGTAAAGCATAGTCTCAAACTCATAGTAGCCATTGTGCTTTAACCAGTGTTTTTCACACCAAAAGTAAGGAAAGTGATACACGTGTGCTCTGCCAACCGTTTCTTGGGGCTGTAGCAAATAAGCGTTTCAATAAATGCTTTAACTTGGTGTTGCTCTCAAAAGGCTGCCTTCTCACAGTCCTGCTTGCAGTGTTTTATGTGCTTGTAGGGTGAATGCTAAATGGTGAAACAGCTGGGCTAGTCTTCCAGCTTATTTGATGCTTTACACCCTGAACAGCTCTCCCTAGCACTATTCAGCCCTGTGGACAACTGGGGATGGCAGAGCAGGACTGAAGGCTGTGTAAGTTTAATGCCCGTTAGGAGAAGGGGGCATGGGAAGTTGTGGTTAGTGTCAACATTACTGCACTGTATCTGGCTGTGCTTTAACATAGATCTTATGTGGTTATAGCATATGGCAGTCAGCTCAGTAGTGATGTATCTTCTCTAAAGCACTAGTGTGGGTTCAGGGGATGGTAGAATGTGGCATGTTCTGGCAAAGACATAATTCAGCAAGTCTGTTACATGATGTTTTGATATTTGTTGCACACTAGTCTCAGCACTGTGAACTTCTGTTCCTTGAAATTCCAATCTGTTGTGGATTAAATAAAGCTTAGCAATTGCAGCAAAGTTCTGCTGGCAGAGCATTCTTGTTTCACAGCTGGAGGTTTTCTAAGAATTTGCCTATTGGATGGCCTGGGAGGTAGGGTCATCTAGCCATGGATGCTATTGTTGCCTTATGCTTACATTGTTTCTTGAAACATCTGCACTTTGTTAATTATAGAGAGAGCTTTGTAAGAGGTGCAGTCATTCTAATTAGCATAGGTGGCTTTTTCCATTGACTAAATGGACTCATTCATTATTGGCATGGTTTGAATATTACTGAGGCACATTGAGTCCTAGAAGTGATGGTTAAAAGGAACCTTTATCTCCTATAACCCTCCTCCTTGAAGCAGGATCAGATCAGCCTTGCTTTTGTCTAGCTGGGTGATGGAAGACTTTCAAGGGCAGTTTTGCTGCTTATTTGGGTGTGATGGAGGCAAGAAGAGTGTTGCTTGGCATTGTCTGTTTCCTGTATGTGGAAAAGGGTACAGGGGAAAACAAGGGGGAGATACTGTCTGTGAGTCTTCAGGGAGATTCCAATTGCAGAACAAGAACCTAATTAAATATGGGAGAAAACAGGGGTGTGCCAAGGCTGCAGTGCTCTATAACCAGGAAGTATCTGATAAATTAAAACCTCTCTATTTTAATGAAGACCTCAGTGCACAAAAGACACTTATGGTGACCACACACATGGGGTGTGTGGGAGGAGATGGTACTGAGGATACTGGTTTTAAGAAGGTTAGGGTGATGTAGCTCATAGCCTGCTAGCTCGTTACTGAGATTTAGTTTAAAAGAGTCTCTGAATCATAAGGAAATGCAGTATGATCCTTGGAAAGGCAAAAGATGTTGAAGGCTTTTGAGGAAAGGTAGGAGGAAGAGGGTCACTGGGATAAGTAGTGGACATGAAGAGTTGTTGCTTCTCTTCAGTTTTCTTTTGCTTTCTGTAAGTCACTTCTACCTTCCAGAAAGCACTAACTGTACTTTATCCTTTGCTTGTCTGAAACTTGTCCTTAATAGAGTTCTGTGGCTTAGACAGTAGGTAATTGAGAATTGCGAGTACAGGAAAGCATCTGTGCAGTCTGGGCTTTGCTTTGAAGCTCCGTGTAAGGAAGTAACAATGCTTCCTCTCAGCATAGTGATGTTTTTGCATTCTCTTGAAGCTTTTTTCTTGCCAGATACTTCCACTAGATTTTTGACCTCTAAATGTTAGAAGTGAAAAGTTGACCCTGTTCTGTCCCCTTGGCTTTGCACTCCAAGAACCAGTGGTGTTCACAGGCTGCTCATAACCAATCTCCTCCCTGACCTGAGGTTTTTGCGGAGTCCTGGGAGCTTTCTCCCTTGCATATCGCACAGCTGTTTATTAACTCTTGAGTGGTCATGCTGTAGTGTCACTTGCACTTCATTCTAAACTGAGGGAACCCAGTTTGAATGAAGTCATAAACAGCTTCATAGAAATTACTGAGTTCTGGGGTTTTGTTTGTTTGTGGTGTGGTGGTTTGTTTTTTAGTTTGTTTGTTTGTTTTGGGGTTTTTTTGGTTGGTTTTCTTTTGAGCCAATAACACAGCAATCTCCTCCTCAGGATGAACAGGAAAAATTTCTGGATGAAGCCATTCAGGCTGTGAAGGTGCAGTCTTTCCAGATGAAGAGATGCTTGGTAAGAATGTGACTTTAAAATGCAATGAGGCTTCTTATCTGCTAGGAGTAAACAAGTAAATCAATACTAATCTCCAGTGCTATAAGTAAAAGTAACCCAAGTGTATATATAGGTGGTAGATTAGAAGTTGTCTTGTATCCTGTGATGCCAGGTGACAACAAGGTGCTTGGTGACAGCCAGCATGGCTTCACCAAGGGGAAATCCTGCCTGACCAATTTGGTGGCCTTCTATGATGGGGCTACAGAACTGATGGACAGTGGTAAAGCAGTTGATGTCATCTACCTGGATTTGTGTAAAGCGTTCGACACTGTCCCACACAACATCCTTGTCTCTAAATTGAAGAGACATCAATTTGATGAATGGACCACCCGGTGGATAAAGAACTGGGTGGATGGCTGCACACAAAGAGTTATGTGGTCAATGGCTCAATGTCCAGCTGGAGACCAGTAACGAGTGGTGTCCCTCAGGATCGGTGTTGGGACCGGTCTTGTTTAACATCTTTGTCGCTGACATGGACAGTGGTATTGAGTGCGCCCTCAGCAAGCTTGCCGATGACACCAAGCTGTGTGGTTCGGTTGATACGCTGGAGGGAAGGAATGCCATCCAGAGGGACCTTGACTTGCTTGTGAGGTGGGCTGATGATCTTAAGGTCCTTTCAAACCCTAACTATTCTATGTTTCTATAAATCTAAGTTATATGCAGCCAAATAAACTGTGGCTTTCAGTGAAGTGGTGGTGTTGGGCAAGAAGCAGGGAACAAGGAATTCTAACAGTGGTCTGCTGGCAGTGTGTATCCTCCATCTGCTTTTTTTTAAAAGGCTAAAAGTGTAGCTTTCTAAAATACTGTAGTTGCCTAGTATTTCTTATGGAATATTCTCCCTTCCTCTATAGGACAAAAACAAGCTCATGGATGCTCTGAAACATGCTTCCAACATGCTTGGTGAGCTGCGGACTTCTATGTTAGCTCCAAAAAGCTATTATGAGCTCTGTATCCTTTGAAGAGGAAACAAATAGTTAAAATGCTGATTTTGGAAATAAATGTTCATCTGCTTTTTTGGTACAATGGCATTTCTTCTATCTTGTATTTACTAGCACTTTTCTCAGTATTTGATTATCTGGATATATTGTAGCAGAATATACACTTATTTACTCACTGTGTAAGTTTATCTTTTCCCTTTGGTATAAAGCATGTCTTTAATGTCTTTTATATCTTCTGGGAGGCTTCAGGAGTCTAGCTCTATAAAAATATCAGCTCTGTAAAACATCCCTGCTTGCAGTATGGTACCCCCAAAATCTGTAAAACCAACTTTTTTTTTTTTTGCCCTTTGTTATTTTATTAGCTTCTAACCATAAGTCAGTTCCTCAATGTGTTTATCTGTGCATACTCTAGTATATGAAGAAAGGGGAGCCTTTTCATGAGACTTAGGAATAGAATGTGAATATATTCAAATACTGCTTTTTCCAGGTGTGGGTGATGTTCTTCTGTAACACATAGTATGCCTTTACTTTAGATACTCTGTTCAGTCACATTAATTTGCTTGCTCTTTTGACTTGTTTGTTTTTTGTTTTTTTGGTGTGGTTTTTTTTTTCTCAGCTAAAGCTGATAATTGGAGGATTGGGATTAGTTGTGCGTGTTTATCCCAGTAGTGATTGTTGTTTCCCAGTAGTGATTGCTTCAGAAGTACTACCTACTTGGGCATGATTGCATTTGGTTACAGCATCTTTCCTCCTTGGTGTGAATGAGCAAGTTTCTATGTAAACCTACTATAAATATTTTAAATTAAAATCCTTAACTATGAGAAAGACATGGCAATTTCTGATGAGCTGCACTACTTGGAAGTCTACTTGACAGATGAATTTGCCAAAGGAAGGAAAGTGGCAGACCTTTATGAGCTAGTACAGTACGCTGGAAATATTATTCCAAGACTGTAAGTGCATATATGTTACTCTGTGTGTGTGTGTTAAAAATAGTGAATAATGGTTGGACTTTGGGTTCAGAATAATGATTGACTCTGTTCTTGCTTGACAGCAAGATTTCAGTTTGCAATGGTGAACAAGTATTTCTGCATATCTTAAGAGTGGATTGCTATGGAACTTCTGAGATTTAGTCCAAGAGTGCAGCTAGCTGCAGTTCTTCCTGCCAGTGTGCTGGTTTTGTACATGACCAAGATGGAAGCACTTTGATATTGGAAAAAAGTTGGCTTTTGGGTAAAGAGCTGGTCAGTGGAAGATTAGTATCACATTCTGATCAGTGAGATTGGTTACACATTTATTAACATTTTCAGTTATCTGTTAATGAACTTGTAACTGAGGATCTAGGTTGTAGATCCTCACACAGAGCAGATGCTTCATAACTGTCTGTCTCTTGGAGGGTAAGAAGTGCGAGAAGGAAGCTGAAAATTTCTGTAACTTAATTTTAAAAAGCTTTGTGATTCTGAATGTGTGCTTTTGGTGATAGCATGCTGGAGATAATACTGGAAGGCTTATCTTTAAATATGTGACCATTAGGCTGGAGTAGATCTAGATATTCAGGCTTGGGGCTTGGATTTTGTTTGGTAATGCAGTTATTAATTCCTGACATTATGTTCATGCCAGGAAGAGGCTTTGGAGACACAAGGCTGCATCCTCATGCAGTTTCTGGAGTTTGGCTAATGACTACCACAATGTCTTTACCCCTTTGCATAATAATTTGAGTTGTCTTCTTGGCTGTTTGATGTAGACTCTTGTTATCCCTTATGAGCATTTCTGGTGCTTTCATGGAGGTTCTGTGCACATCCATTCAGGACACAGAGGCACCAGAGGCTTAAGGCCTCTAAACAGAATATGTGAAAATTCTGAGTGTTGTAAATTTTTTCTCTTAAGCTGAAGGGGAGTCCAGTACAGTTGAGCATCAGTCCTTTGCATCTTGTATGTCCCTTCTACCTGTTGCTTAATACAGAGATGCTGAAGGAAGAAGTACAGACCTGGGGGTTTCTGAAGAGCATAACACCTTGTCGGAGACTCCATGTCGTCGCGATGCGGAGACAACACAGCACAACCAATATGATTGATAAAAGTGATCCATTTATTCTGCTTAAGCCTAGGGTATATATAGAGCTGGATTGCTACACACACACATTCTTGGGAAACTCCTGTGGTTACATCCCTTTTTCTAACATCCTTGTTCCTCCCTTCAGGATACTCGTTAACTACAAGGTCAGTTTATCCCCCTGCACAGCTGGTGTTTTTTACCGAGCTGGGTTTCTCACTGACTTTTACAAAACTGGTCCCTGGCCAAGTTCAGCCATGGGAACGTAACCCTTGCCTGCCAGTCATGCTTCCACAACACCTCTCCTGCCAGACTAAAGTGTGAAGGAGGCTTAACTGCTTCACCATAACAGATTACTTATCTACATGTGCTGGAGCTGTTTTCCAGTTTAGTGGAGTGCTGAAAGTATAGACAAGCTGATCTGAGAGCATTCAGAACATGATGTATGCTAAGCATTTAAAGATTCAATGTGTAAAGTATTGTGATGAGGCCAGGTGGCTGTTCAGACTTGCTGTGCTGTCTGGCAGAGGATAGCAGGAGTTGAAAGCTAATTTAATATCTAAAATTATGGGACCCAGGTGATATTGTATTGCTTTCTGTGCTTTGGTAATACTGCCAGGATGGAAGAAAGGAACTATTACCTTTAAGTATGTTGTTGTTGTTTACAATGTATTGTTTCATCCTGTGCCTTTTGCAGGTATCTCCTGATAACAGTAGGTGTGGTCTATGTCAAGTCATTTCCACAGTCCAGGAAAGATATTTTGAAAGACCTGGTGGAGATGTGCCGTGGAGTACAGCATCCTCTTAGAGGCCTCTTTCTTAGGAACTATCTCTTGCAGTGTACCAGGAATATCTTACCAGATGAAGGCGAACAAGCAGAGTAAGATCATAGAATCTCAGACTGGTTTGGGTGGGAAGGGATCTTAAAGCTCAGCCAGTTCCACCCCTGTGCCACGGGCAGGGACATCTTCCAGTAGACCAGGTTGCTCCAAGCCCTGTCCAGCCTGGCCTTGAACACTGCCAGGGATGGGGCAGCCACAGCTTCTCTGGGCACCCTGTGCCAGTGCCTCACGACCCTCACAGGAAGAATTTAAAAAAAATTGTTTTAAACAGAACATATTAAATTTTCTGTATGACTTTCTTTGGTTTTGAGTTAAGTAGATCTGTGTAGAGTTCTAACAGGTGTTTTGTCCATTAAGAATTCTGTTTCAGAACTAAGGTTTCTCACAAGGGAGGGTATTAACCGTTCTTGTGAGCCCAGATATCCCACTACATGCTTCCCTACCCTCCTACCTTCTTAAAATTTGATGTTCACCAGATGAAAGGATGAATACCTCTCACGAGCTTTTCCTGTTCCTAACCTGTTCTCAATTGCAGTGAAGAAACCACTGGAGACATCAGTGATTCGATGGATTTTGTGCTGCTGAACTTTGCTGAGATGAACAAACTTTGGGTGCGAATGCAACACCAGGGCCATAGTCGGGACAGAGAGAAAAGGGAGCAAGAAAGACAGGAACTCAGAATCCTAGTGGGAACAAACCTGGTTCGCCTCAGTCAGTTAGCATGTGTTAATGTGGAGCGATACAAGCAGGTAGGATGTCTGTCCATCCTTTTTGACTTTTTACCTTTTCCGGATGAAACCAGTTTGGGCTTTCAGATAGGCAGCTTGAAGCGTTACAGCTATGTTAAAAGTTCAGTAATCCTGGTGCTTCTCAAACTCTTCACCTGAGTAAAAGTTCTGAAGGCTAATAAAGCTGTATAATGTGTTGTGAGGCTGAGGATGACTAATGTGTTTTTTCTTTAAGCTTGTGTGTAACGTTGACAAGAAGCTTTAAACCAACTCATTCTGTAAGTAAAATGGGAATCCAGAAGGGAAGTTTTAAGGGATGTGTACACATACCAAGTTCTGTGATAGAATTTACAAGTTAAATGAAGCTATGCTTCCCAAAGCATTTAAGAGAACTGTTACTGCATGAGATGACAGTCAAGCAATTACATTGTTTAGAAGTTTGTCCTTTGAAAGTTCTACCATACAGCTGCTGAAAATTATTTTAAGCAGTGCTGCTGAAGACCTAAGTAGTGGTATGTGCCAGCAAAGCTAGTAGCACTGACGTTCTAAATCAGAGCTTGCAGATTGTACAGTGTATGAAAGGGACAAATGTCTGAGACCAGGAGGTTTTTATTTTTTTTTTTCTTATCAGATTTCTTATCAGAAAAATTTTACATAAAGAAAAAGCTGAGAAATGTTAGAAATACTTCTCTGCTTGGATTAAATGTGCAAGTGAATATAAGCTTAGGAAGTAATTGTCAAATCACTGTAAGACTCTTTTCTATTCCAGATTGTTCTGTCTGGAATATTGGAGCAAGTTGTAAACTGTAGAGATGCTTTAGCTCAAGAATACCTCATGGAGTGCATCATACAGGTGAGCTGCGTAAATTCAATTGCAGTGATGGGACACAGGGATACTTACTCCTCTATTTTTAGTCAGAGTCAGGCTTTCACCTCTTCCTCATGAACTGGAAAATTTCATTGCTGGGACTCTTACCTAATGCCTTGTCCCATATTTTTTTAATAGGTGGCTGGAGTGGAGATTTGATCTTGTACTCCTGCTGCAGAAGCAGGAGTAAGCATCTGAGCTGCAGTGCCTGCAGTATGAATTATAACAGATAGCTAGTCCCTCCAGTTACTCGTTTGTCTTGCTCCTCTTGCTTCATGCATTTACCCAGTCATGGTCAGCTTGGGGAGCTTTAGCACTGGTGGAGCTGTCTGTATTTACTATGTGGCTATCTGCTTTAGAATTACTCTGTTGCATTTTACTGCTGTGTAACAATGGGCAAATTCAGTTTGTACCATGATGACTATTGATCTAAAACTTCAGGTTTTCCCAGATGAATTTCACCTCCAAACCCTGAACCCATTTCTTGGAGCCTGTGCTGAGCTGCACCAAAATGTGAATGTGAAAAATATAATTATTGCTTTAATTGACAGGTGAGTGACCAAGGGTGTGGAAACTGGCTCAAAATTAAGTTTGTGTTGTGCACAAGGAAATAGTTTTTCCAGCATTTGAAAGGTTTCAATTTTCGATATCGTGTAATTTCACTGTTTCTGTGTCTTTCCATCAGCTGTGATTAAGACTATGAAGAACATTGTAGCTTCTGCCCTCTGGACTCTGCTTTTACAGCTTCCTATAAAACCTGCTTTAAGGACCGATTCAAATTTGTAAACAGATTAATCCAGAAAACAACCTATTTAGTATCAACCAATTTAATGTTTCTGAGCTAAAGTGGCAGCAGTGTTCTTACTTGGAGTATTGTGTGCAGTTCTGGTGTCCTCAACATAAAAAGGACATGGAACTGTTGGAACAAGTCCAGAGGAGGGCCATGAGGATGATCAGGGGACTGGAGCACCTCCTGTATGAAGATAGGCTGATAAAGTTGGGTCTGTTCAGCCTGGAAAAGAGAAGGCTGCGTGGAGACCTCATAGGCCCCCTTCAGATACTGGAAGGCTGCTACAAGGATGCTGGAGAGGGACTCTTCACTAGGGACTCTAGTGATAGGACAAGGGTTAAGGGGTTAAAATTTAAACAGGGGAAGTTTAGATTGGATATAAGGAAGAAGTTCTTTACTTGTAAGGGTGGTGAGGCACTGGAATGGGTTGCCCAGGGAAGTTGTGAATGCTTCATCCCTGGCAGTGTTCAAGGCCAGGTTGGACAGAGCCTTGAGTGACATGGTTTAGTGTGAGGTGTCCCTGCCCATGGCAGGGGGGTTGGAACTAGATGATTTTAAGGTCCTTTCCAACAGTAACTATTCTATGATTCTATGATAGCCATGTCAATCATAAGTACTTCTTGGAACCCTGAAAATCCTCATGGCTAAATCGTATATCAAGGATGCTTTACCTTGCAGTTCTGATCAGAGAGCGTAACACCTCTTCAGAAAAGAGCTAGTAGGAAATGGAGCTACCTTCTTAATTTCTTAGTTTACCACTAACTTCATGCCTGTTCTCCCAAAAGTGTTTTTCCTGTAGAGATACAGCTTAAAACTGCTGGCACTGAATTCAAATATGGAGGAGGAATCATAGAATCATTTAGTTTGGAAAAGACATTTAAGATCAAACTTTAAGTTTTAGTTTGTATCCTGAAGGGAAACAACACAGGTTATCTGTGAGTGCCTGTTGTGGTTTAACCCCAGCCAGACAGCTTGTTCACCCACTCCTCCCCTTTTCTTGCCCTCCCCCTACTCCTGGAGGGACGGAGAGGAGAATCAGAAAGAATGCAACTCCCACGGGTTGAGATAAGAACAGTTTAGTAACTAAGGTATAACACAAATCACTACTGCTGCCACCAATAATAGTAATGATAAAGGAAATAACAAGGGGAAGAGAATACAACACCTCATCACCAGGCGACTGATAACTCGCCCCTCCAGCCCGACCAAGCATCAACCGATACCTCCTCCAACCCTGCAGTCCCCCTAGCCCTTCTGGGTAATTCCCAGTTACACCCTGGGCATGACGTGCTGTGGTATGGAATACCTCTTTGGTCAGTTTGGTTCAGGTGTTCTGTCTCTGCTTCCTCCCAGCTTCCCTCCTCCCTGGCAGAGCATGAGGCTCACAAAGTCCTTGGCCAAACCAAAACATCATTTTTATCAGCTCTGTTCCCAGGCTGAAAGTCAAAACACAGCACTGCACCAGCTACCAAGAAGGAGAAAAAATTACTGTTACTGCTAAACCCAGGACAGTGCCTGTACTTTCTTACTGCAGAAAGGAAGTGCATTTTCCTGGCTTTTTGAAGCCTCAGAAAAGCTTTGTCCTTGCATTTGCACAGAAGCATGTGTACCTTTGTATTTGGTCCATATATCAATGTATGGACTTCAGTTGCCGTAGGGATCTTGTGTCCTACTTTTGACAGTGAGTATGTTTGCTGTGGTTTTGTTTCTTTGTCTTTAACGTCTGGAGATGGAACATGTATATTAAGCATGAATGGTATAACTTAGGATCTTGTAGGTTTTACTAAGAAATCTGTAGCTTGTTTTGTTCAGGTTACGTTGGATCTATTTGTTCAGGACTTCAGTCTTACTGGAGTATCTTTCAGTATTTGTGCACTCGGCAGAGAAGCAGCTCTGCCTTCATCCAGAGATATTCACAGGAATTCATTGGTTTTCAACACTTTGCTGCTGTGCCTGAGGTTGTTTTTGGTTTTTGGTTTTGTTTTTTTTTTGTTTTTATAATTTAGCTAGCTTAAAACAAACAATAAACCAAACAAAAAATAAATTAAAAAAAAACCACAAAGCCCCCGAATCCTCAGAAGCATTGCTTATAACAGTCTAATTTCTGAGACTGTCTGTCTTGTGACTGCTTTCATCAGAGGTCACAATCTTTTACTAGCTTCTTATGTTACTGAGTAGCAGTGTGATTCCTGCAAGAAGGTGTTCCTCAAGTAGCTTTTGTGATTGTGTCTACGTAGAAGTTTTAAACAGGTTTGGTATTACTTCCACAGTAAGTTTTCACTGTTACAAACAACAGTAAGCAACTGACTTAAGAGTGAGCCTGCTGTCTTCCTAGACTTAACACTACTGTGTTTTGTTGGGCCACTAATAATGTCTTCCACAGCTTTCTTAATTGGCTATAGGACAGAGGTAGAAGCGTGGTGGTGTGATGATCATCATCTTTGTAGTATGGCAAGTTGTGCTTTTGACTGTAATATTACTGCAAGTGTTGGAGGATGGATCTGTTCTAGGAATCCATTCATTGTGTTTGAATTTGGAGTTGTTAGGAGCAATTATGTGTTTCAGTATTGTGTAGGTAAGGTATGAATCTGCCCCATAGGGGTAGTGCCTATTGGCATTTCTTATCTTTATTTCAGCTGACATAGAATAATTGAAACTGAACATCAGTGACTGCTGAAGAAGCTTGTGAAGCTGTAGTCCCTATTCCCATGGGGCTTTCCCATTATGGATTCTTTCTGCAAATAGTCTCGCTGCTTTGGGATCTTTCTTGCCTTACTAAACAATTCATAGCTTTTAATTATGCTGTCATCTGCCTGCAACTTATTATACTTTGTAACATGCTGGCCTTACCTTCTGAACTGTTGCCAAGAAAAGCTGCCTTGTCCCTTTGAGAAAAGGCAGTGATTGTTCCTGCTTGTTACCACCCTAATGAAATATGAGTAGTTCAATGTCTTTTTTTTCCTAGCAGTGAAGCTTCTTGGCACCTCAGCCTTTTCTTACCTGACTTTCTTTCAGACTTAATGTTAATTCAGAATTAAAGTTTAATAACATAAAAAAAATTAATTAGGTGCTTTTTTCCTAAATACTTTTCTAGGTCTTTCTCTAATTCAGTATAGAATAATCCCTTAACAGTTAGAAAGCAAAGATAGTAATGCTGAGCTTTTTTTAAGCTGCAGCCTTGGTAAGGTGCTCACCTTCCTGTAGTGATTCTTCTGTTGTCTGATTTCTGCAAAAACAATGGTTGGCATGACTTTCTTTTGTTACAGATAGAGATGGCTCTACAACATCCAACATTCTTCTCCTGCTGGATAGGGATCTCTTCCTTTGTTTGGGGGGGGGGAACAAAAATTCTCCACTTTAAATTTACTTTGTATTTTGCTCTTTGCAAACAGTAGAAGTACCAAACATGTTGGTCTGTCTTTGGAGACAAAGTAAAGTTAGCATATTTCTTCTGTTGTTTTTCTCTGGAGGCTGTTTTGCAGAGAATGCTACTGGATGTCTGACTTCAGTAATAACACTGAATAGAAGCAGGATATTTGCTCTTCCATCAGCTGAGTAGACTATCTTTTTCTTTGCTGGAACAGCACACTTGCTCCTAGCTGAAAAGCACAGGATTACAAAATATCCTTCTTGCTCTTTCTTCATCTTGCTATCTCTGTCAACACTCTTTTCCAGGAATGATATTTACCAGGCTCAGTTGCTCTTGAGGTTTCTGACTTCTGTTAATTTAATTTTTGCTTGTAATAGAGCTTGCAAATATACCAAAGGACTTGTTTTTGCTGTCAGTATCTCTTTCTGGCCTGTTTCTGAGGAGTTGAAAGACTGCTGACCAAGCAGCTTTCCTTTATCTGTTACCAGATTAGCTTTATTTGCACATCGTGAAGATGGACCTGGTATCCCAGCAGATATCAGACTGTTTGACATATTTTCACAGCAGGTGGCTACTGTTATACAGGTATGCTGGGTATTCTTGCATGCAGTTTTGGGGTGGTTTTGATAAGTTATGTGCTGCTTTTTTTTTTTTTTTTTTCCCTTTTTCCCCTCTCTCTCTCCACTCAGTGTTGTCTTAAATTTCAGTCTCGCCAGGACATGCTGTCAGAAGATGTGGTATCTTTGCAAGTTTCTCTCATTAATTTAGCTATGAAATGCTACCCAGACCGTGTTGACTACATTGATAAGGTGTTAGAGACAACTGTGGAAATATTCAGTAAACTTAACCTAGAACAGTAAGTGTCTCCTGCATTCTCTCTGGTGTGACAATGAATCTTGACTTCTACATTTCATATTTAGCAAAATAGCAGAGATGTGCTTTGATGTGTAAGATTACTGCCTTTGGGCCAAGCTATAGAGTATCATGATACACTGCTGACTAACCAGGACTTACCTGTGCATAAATCCTACTGTGCAGCTCTACAGCTACACGATGTGTGTGCCAAAGCTGTGTGTAGTCATTATCTGTTCATCCCTTACAGCACTTCAGTTATCCCCTTGCTGAATTTGCAGCCACAATCTCTGCTTCTGCTATCAGCAACTTAAAATGTGCATTTTCCACTGTACATCCTAAAGAGCAAGATATGAGTTGTTTTGATACCTCTTTCTTTCTCCCTAACAGCAAGTTTCTTAGATGTTGTGCTATACATCAGAATTGGTATTGAGACAGACTTTAAATTTGTCTGCATGTGTGAACTATTGACTGTGTGTTTTGCATGTATTTATTAATTTATTTATTAATTTATTTTTAGTGTTGCAGCAAGCACTGCTGTTTCAAAGGAACTGACTAGACTTTTGAAGATCCCTGTTAATGCTTACAACAATATCGTGACAGTTCTGAAACTAAAACATTTTCACCCACTCTTTGAGTACTTTGATTATGAGTCCAGGAAGAGCATGAGTTGTTACGTGCTTAGCAATGTATTGGATTATAACACACAAATTGTGTCCCAAGAACAGGTATGACATAAGTTAATTTGAAATTTTAGGTATTTAAACAGTAGTTTGAAGACTTGAAAACACGTACTAAATGACATAGAATCATAGAATTATAGACTTCATGCAGGGCATGCTTTGTTTCCTAGTCTGCATGCCCCTGCCTTTCAATCTTAGTAGCACAGCTTTATCCTATGTGATAATTCTTCCACCCATGTTCTTTAATGTCTTGTCTTTGCACATCTTACCTAACCTCATCTTAGAGAGTGTTAGGTTTGAATAAAGGCCCTGAACCCCCTTAAAACTAGGCCTATTACCTATAGAAGACTAGATAGTACTTTTGAAATCTGAATTTCCTCTGTACTGCTATACTGTCCCGCTTGTGCTAGGAGGGACTACTTCTTCAGGGAGTAAGGCAAATATATTCTAAAACATCACCGACTCTGACTTTGCTTGTGCTTTGTCAGCACTGTGAATGGCTGTAATGATGTTCCTGGTTGATGTTAGCTTATGCTTATAGACTACTATGGGTTTAAATAGAGCTATTATTGCTTTTAACAGGTTGATGCCATCATGAATCTGGTATCCACACTGATCCAGGATCAACCGGATCAGCCTGCTGAAGATCCTGACCCCGAGGACTTTGCTGATGAGCAGAGTCTTGTGGGAAGATTTATTCATCTTTTACATTCAGATGACCTCGACCAACAGTATCTGGTATGGTCATTAGTGCTGTGAAATGCCTGTGCTCCCTGAAGTGTCAGTTTTGCTTTATTTACTATGAGACTTCAGTGTAGCTGGGAACTGGGGCATCACTGCTCTGGCACTACAAACTCAGTAGAGAACATTGTGTGACATTTTTAATGCTACTATGAAATGTTTTTATTTGGAAAAAGCAGGTGAAGGCTTAAAAGCATTTTGTGGATTTAAACTTTTCAATCCCATGAGGTGGCAGTTTGGATGCAATTGTATTAGTTTGTACTACTTGATAAGCATCACAAAAACTTGTATCAGATTTTCCTATATTACAGGAACAGTAGGAAAAAGTCCAAGACTATGGGATTTTCACAACTCTTTCACAGTATCTCACTTTAAATTATGCATTCTGTATGGAACAGACCTGAAATGCAAATTCAAACACATTAGTGCATTACAAGCCAAAGTGTATAATACAGTGACAGATTTCTGCTTGTTGATGCTATTTACATGAATTCTAGTAATTACAGTTCATGCAATCTAAAAAGGTATGTAGGGTTGGACGCTGGGCTTCATTTCTAGTGCTTGTTTCAAAGTGGTGATGGACTGCTGTGACCAGAAAGCAAGGTAATACCTGGCTGTAATAACTAGATGTTGTTCTGACAGTTAAACTCACTTTTTAACTCTGATCTCTAGTAGAAATTCTCTGAAATTTGGTTTCTGAAATTTTAGTGTAAAATATAGCATGTCTGAGTTTTGTCCCCTTTGAAAGGGAGTCAGGTTATTACAAACAACTAATGTTTAGCTTGCCTGGAATGGATTGAATAATTTCTCTTCTGGTACCTGGAGTTCTTGCTATTCCCAAGAATTCTGGTTATGAGAATACATAACTGATTATATCAATACATAGAAATAATCCCAAAATAAGTGGAAAGGGAGAAGCTAACAGTATAAACAAGGAGAGCTTCTTAGTACCTCTCCACAGGTTGAGAACAGGGGCAAAAGGCAAAGTAGTATCATGTTCATTTTGTACGGGTGGCTTGTGCTCAAAACTGAGAAATGCAATAAAAAAAGCATTAATGAGCATAGTGAAAACCTAAAAGCTGGGGGAAATGGCAACTGTTGCAGGTATGGCTACCATAATGTAGTGCTATAGTCTTTCAGAGTACAAGAAACCTTATAGGCTTGTGTGTTCAGTTTCATGAAACTTGGCTTCTTTTATGTTCTTACAGGCTATTGTAAGGAAGTATAGTCCTTTTGTAGCTTTCATTGAGTTGAGGACAGAATGTATCTGATATAATTATTAAATGCAAGCTCAGGCAACTTCCATCTTGCTGCACAGTCCAAAATGTATCTGCAGTTAATATAGTACAAGTGTTGCCAAACACTTAAGCAGCTGTAGGAAAAGTTTGAGGAGATGCTACAGAAACTGCATGCGTAGTACCCCACCAAAATACTGCGATCTGATGCTGGTGCCATGTCTTTCTGATGCTCTTATTCCATAGAGCGCAGACTAAGTTGTAGATGCAAATAAGACAATTTTTCAAGAATGCTCTAGGCTTACAATACTTCTATTCTAGATCCTAAACACTGCCCGGAAACACTTTGGTGCAGGTGGAAACCAGCGTATTCATTTTACACTGCCACCATTGGTTTTTGCTGCCTACCAGCTTGCTTTTCGCTACAAGGAGAACTCCAAAGTGGTAAGCTGACCTCTAGGTAACTCTTGTATACTTGTGTCTTTTGGGCTTTCTTAAAAATGCATTTTGTCTGGCTATGGTACACTAAAGCTTGATACAGAACACTAAGGTTTTTGTTTTTTCTCGAGGCAGATTTTTACTTGAGGTGTGAATGCTTTCTAAAGGAGGATTTTTATCAATCATACTAAATTACCTCAGCACTTGAGGAATAGTGAAGCAGAAATTGGCTGCTTATTTATTCATGAAGGTGACTGATGATTTGTTTTTACTTGGAGACCAGAGAACTGGGCCACTGCAATTGCTGGCACGAAACAGATTTAAATCTGGATATTGAAATTCATCAGCTTCTAAATCTGTAGCTGTACTGTTTTAATATTTCTAAAAGTGAGTGTTTCTTTGTAGGTTAACTTGTATAATAGTTGCAAAAGTGCACACTAAAACAGTCACTGATCCATCTTGTCCCTTTAATGCTTCTGATTGAGATAGTTAGCTAAAATATATACTTTCTCTTATCGTGGAGGATATATTGTGGGGAAATTAATTCAAATGCTGTTTGTTAAAACACTCCTCAAAATTAATGTTTTAAAATGCTCTTCCCTTCCTGATTGATGCTTCAGACTCAATAGAATTTTTCTCCACTTAACTGAGCAAAAGCCTCATTAGCTGTGTTCTAAGTGTAGCTGTGGTAACTGCAATTCAGTGTGTAAACTTGTGAGGAAGGTTTCTATGAGCTGGTAGGAAAAATGGGTGTGAATTTTTTGTAAATGGAAGAAATACGTTGTGAACACCTACTGAGATCAATGCAGTACTGCTAGGGCACTCATTACTGCTTCAGTAAGTGGCTGGTGTGGCACACGGAAGAAAACAGGCTGGAGAACTTGACAGATCTTACTACAATTTAGGTTCTCTTTGTATCAATATTCTTGTTCAAGTTTTGGCTTGTTTCTCTTCTGTAGGATGACAAATGGGAAAAGAAATGCCAGAAGATCTTCTTGTTTGCTCATCAGACCATCAGTGCTCTGATCAAAGCAGAACTGGCAGAGCTGCCTCTCCGTCTCTTCCTACAAGGAGCACTGGCTGCAGGAGAGATTTGCTTTGAAAATCACGAAACTGTGGCCTATGAATTCATGTCCCAGGTGAGTGTCCAACTATACTTGCTGTCCTGTGATACCTTAAACCTGGCTTGGGTAGGTTTCCTGAACACTGAACCATCCAGCGTGATTAAAACATCTTGAAATTATTGATGGCTAATGCTACTAGGTGGAAGCTCCTCATCTTAATTCTTGCTTCCCAGGCTGCTGTGGAATAAAGCTCCATTGCTACAGATTTGAATACTCAGTCTGACAACATGTGGTATGTTGCGATACTGCCTACTAGTTGTATATTTGGCTCACTGGAGGAGTGCAGTTTTCTCAACATGAAATGTTCCTTCGCTGATTCCAAGCCTGTGTCTCTCAGCTCCTGCTGTCTAGCTGGTGTTGCCCTGACCACAAGCCCTCTTTGGAAGGTCTCTAAAATTTGCAGTGTTCACAGCTGTCATGCTGGGCTTTGCTAATCAAAATCCTTGTGTTTAAACCTATTATAAACTACTGTGAAAATCCACTTCAACCCATTTCACGGTATCACAGTATGTTAGAGATTGGAAGGGACCTCAAAAGATAATCTAGTCCAGTCCCCCTGCCGGAGCAGGAACACCTAGATAAGGTTACACAGGAACGTGTCCAGGCGGGTTTTGAATGTCTCCAGAGAAGGAGACTCCACAACCTCCCTGGACAGCCTGTTCCAGTGTTCTGTCACCCTCACTGAGAAGAAGTTTCTTCTCAAGTTTAAGTGGAACCTCTTGTGTTCCAGTTTGTACCCATTGCCCCTTGTCCTATCATTGTTTGCCACTGAGAAGAGCCTGGCTCCATCCTCGTGACACTCCCCCTTTATATATTTATATACACTAATAAGGTCACCCCTCAATCTCCTCTCCTCCAAACTATAGAGACCCAGCTCCCTCAGTCTTTCCTCATAAGGGAGATGCTCCACTCCCTTAATCATCTTAGTTGCCCTGTGCTGGACTCTCTCCAGCAGGTCCCTGTCCTTCTTAAACTGAGGGGCCCAGAACTGGACACACTATTCCAGATGCGGTCTCACCAGGGCAGAGTAGAGGGGAAGGAGGACCTCTCTCGACCTACTAATCACCCCCCTTCTAATACACCCCAGGATGCCATTGGCCTTCTTGGCCACAAGGGCACAGTGTCGGCTCATGGTCATCCTGTCGTCCACTAGGACCCCCAGGTCCCTCTCCCCTACACTGCTCTCTAACAGGTCGTTCCCCAACCTATACTGGAACCTGGGGTTGTTCCTGCCCAGATGTAGGACTCTAGACTTTCCCTTGTTATATTTCATCAAGTTATTCCCCACCCAACTCTCCAGCCTGTCCAGCTCTCACTGGATGGCAGCACAGCCTTCTGGCGTGTCGGCCACTCCTCCCAGTTTAGTGTCATCAGCAAACTTGCTGATAGTACACTCAATTCCCTCATCTAAATCATTGATGAATATATTAAATAATACTGGTCCCAGTACCGACCCTTGAGGCACTCCACTAGATACAGGCCTCCAACTAGACTCCACCCCATAGACTACAACTCTCTAGCTTCTCTCCTTCAGCCAGTTCACAGTCCACCTCACTACCCTATCATCCAGACCACACTTCCTCAATTTAGCTGTGAGGATGCTGTGGGAGACTGTGTCAAACGCTTTGCTGAAGTCAAGGTAGACCACATCCACCACTCTGCCATCATCCATCCACCGTGTTATTTCTTGATCTTAAGCCTTATTTGTTGCAAAAACATTGCCATCCTCCCTATCAGGTGAAGAACCAATGTATTTAATGTTATCCACGTTGCAAGCTTTGTCCTGTTTCCTCTAATATTGCTATTAACGCATATTCTTAAACTGAGTAGTTAACCTCAGCCTTTCCTCACTGTTTTGTATTAGTTGCATTTGTAGCACAATTCTGAAGATGAGAGCAGCATGGCAGTTATGTACCTTCTATTAGAGATGGCTCAAGATTTTGTCTCGTGTTTTCTCTCAAGGCTCTTCAACCATGTAGCAGCAGTGCCAATGGTTTTCTTACCTACTCTGTGGTCACTGACCTACCGCTCAACTTCTGCTCTACTGTTCTATGCGTTTCAAAGAACCAAATCCTCTTCAGGGACTACTACTGCTACAGAGGTTCCATATTCAAACAGATGCTTGAAATGAGGAAAAACTCAGTCTTCAGATTATATGATCGCATTTGTTTACTATGACCACTTAAGTAAGAAGTATTTTTTGCAAGATATCTTTCCAGTCTGTGGATTTAACTTAATTTTGACACTCTTAACGAAAGATGTTTTCCTGCCTGAAGCTTTTAACAAATGTAAAACTGGACACTTTACTGCCTTGTCACTGGCACACCTGATTTGGGTTTGGTGTGTGTTTGTTATTTTGTTTTTTTTGTCTGTTTGGGTTTTTTTAATTGTTGTTCTGATGTGTTCTAAAGCAGTGATTAAAAGTCTTGCTTTCTCCCTTGATTAGGCCTTCTCTCTGTATGAAGATGAAATCAGTGATTCAAAAGCTCAGCTGGCTGCAATCACCTTGATAATTGGGGCATTTGAGAGGATGAAGTGCTTCAGTGAGGAGAACAATGAGCCTTTGAGGACTCAGTGTGCATTGGCAGCCTCTAAGCTCCTTAAGAAGCCAGACCAGTGCAGGACTGTGAGCACTTGTGCCCATCTGTTCTGGTCTGGCCGAAATACTGACAAGAATGGAGAGGAGGTAAGAATAAAGGGACAGCAGTGTAACACATCCTACCTAAGTAACGTTGTTCTGCTTTGCTTCAGAAGGCACTTGCTCATAAAGTATATTATAGAATTATAGAATAGTTAGGGCTGGAAATGTTATAAAAACTCCATCTTGGCCATGATCTGATTTAATTAATGTCTTTATTACGATTGATTAATATCGAGAGGCAATAAGCAAGCAGCACTGGGTGCTCCGGGGAGTCTCCGCTCCACCCAAGGCGCACACCAAGATTTCTGGGGTACAGTCTCTTACACTCCTCGGTCTTGGGTTTCAGCCAATCCTGTCGTCTCCTTCACCCGAATATCGACATGGTTCATTTTCATTGTGTTCCTCCTGTTGCTGGGGTCTTATCTTTGGGTGAAGAAACTTCTTAAAAACTCATTGAATTCCTTGGTAATACATTAACAGGGGATGTCTATCACAAGCTTAACCACCATCTTAGCCCCCTAAATTCCATTTCTTATATAGTTACTTATTCAATACACAAGTTTCACCTCATCCTGTAACAGGATGTATCTCTTGATTACCTAACCCCCTTAAGGCATTCAAGCAGTTAAACAAAGTAGTACCCCTGTAATTAGAAAAAGCCTTTTAGACATTCAAGTAGTTAAAGTACCACTTCAAGTAACAAAGCGTTTGATTAGGAGGGATTATTCCTTTGTTCCTTCTTCTCTTTCATCATTGTATTGACAGGAACATCTATCATAATCTGATCATTCTTATACATTCTACACATGATACAATGGTTTCAAGGATTTTCAATTCCACCCAAAGTACAATGATGACAAAGACTCCTAAGTTGCATTCCTATATATCTCACAGAAAGGAGCTTAAGATCATCTAGTTCCAACCCCCCTGCCATGGGCAGGGGCACCTCCCACGAAATCATGTCACCCAAGGTTTTGTCTAACCTGGCCTTGAGCACCGCCAGGGATGGAGCATTCACAACTTCCCTGGGCAACCCATTCCAGTGCCTCACCACCCTTACAGTAAAGAACGTCCTCCTTATATCCAGTCTAAACTTCCCCTGTTTAAGTTTTAACCCGTTGTCCCTTGTTCTGTCACTACAGCCCCTAATAAAGAGTCCCTCCCCAGCATCCCTATAGCCCCCCTTCAAATACTGGAAGGCTGCTATGAGGTCTCCATGCAGCCTTCTCTTCTCCAGTCTGAACAACCCCAACTTTCTTAGCCTGTCTTCATATGGGGGGTGCTCCAGTCCCCTGACCATCCTCGTGGCCCTTCTCTGGACTTGTTCCACCAGTTCCATGTCCTTTTTATATTGAGGACACCAGAACTGCACGCAGTACTCCAAGTTGCGGTCTCACAAGAGTAGAGGGGCAGGATCTCCTCCTTTGACCTGCTGGTCATGCTCCTTTTGATGCACCCCAGGATACGGTTGGCTTTCTGGGCTGCGAGCGCACACTTCTGGGTCATGTTCATTTTCTCACTGACCAACACCCCCAAGTCCTTCTCCGCAGGGCTGCTGTGAATCTTTTCTCTGCCCAACCTGTAGGTGTGCTATCAGTCATGTAGGCTTCATCAGAATGTATTCTAAATATATAAATCTTCTAAATCTCACTGCAGTGTAAGCTGCATACATACAAAAATGGAGACAACTCAAATTTAAGGGTAGAAGTATCATACAAGCTTTGGAGTATCAACTAGTTGAAGACTGGCTGTCAAAGTACAGTCTGCATTTTGCATGTGTCTATTATAGTAGGTGTGTTTACATATGAACTATTAAACTTACGAATTTAAAATACATGTTAAATGTAAAAAAAAGGTTGTGTGGTGTTCAGGGCTAGTGACATAAACTGTTGTAATTATAAAGAGCAGTGTTTGAAATCTCTTTATCAAAGAATGCATTAGTGTATGTATTATAAGGTTGAGCTTATTAATTTTATTGGGGGCTGTCAACAACTGTTCGTGTTATTGTCTGAATTAACAAGATGTAAAACTAGTGGTAGTCAGGCAAAGTGAATTTTCAGTGACAGCTTGTTTGCATAGTTTGTGTAGCTTTGTTTGTGGTAGACCACCAGGAAATGCCATACATCTGCCAAGGGAAGAGATACTGGAGCTCCCCAAGGTTATTTCTTCTAACCTTTGTTTTCTTTCTTCTAGCTTCATGGAGGAAAAAGAGTGATGGAATGCCTAAAAAAGGCTCTGAAGATAGCAAATCAGTGCATGGACTCCTCTCTGCAAGTCCAGCTTTTCATAGAAATTTTGAATAGATATATCTACTTTTATGAAAAGGAAAATGAGGCAGTGAGTGGAAATGCATTCTCTCTATCGCATCTTTTTAAAAGAGGTTTTCTTTAAGTTCTTCATGCTTATACCCCAAATCATGTGTCTTTAACTTGCTCTGTAGTCTTTTATGAGAGGCACAAGTTCTGGCAGTAACAGAGTAGTCAATTCTTGATGTGGTAGTAAAATTGGGGATAAATCTTCATTCTTACATGGGGGAAAATGCCAAACATTTCCTATTTAGTTATGAATTTATATATTGTGGGACTTGGATACTGGAAATATTTATTAGATCAAAACTTACTAGGATTTAATTTTGCTACTTTCTCATTTAACTTTAGAGTTACCTAACTTAATATATACATAAGGGAAGGAAAGACCTTACAGGTGTTCAAGGTCACTGCTAAGTGCATCAAATGGTTGGTGTAAGCTTTAATTTTGAGAAACAGATAATTGACATTTCATGTACCAACTTAAATTCTGCATCTGGGATAGTTGCTGCATACACTTTCTGTTAGCAGATAAACAGACAGGTTTTTCAAAAAGTTTACTAGTTAAGTAGAAATTGGGATCTCCTCCAGTATTGGTGTTTGGTCAAGAGCAGATGTTGATGAAAACCCTATACTTCTGGGAGAATGTCTAAAGAGATTTTAGGGATTTGCTGACTTCACAACAACTGAACTGGCTTCTTGCTGTAGTAGTGATCTAAGTATAGGAGATGCAGTATCTGATGGAGATGAAAATAAGATTTTGAATTTCAAAGCACTTGGCAGACATAAAAAGAGTCTTTGGATTCAATGGTGTTCTGTGTACTGCGGGACTGGACACTGTAGGCAGATTTGCTTTCCTAGGCAATGATTTGGTCACCAAGAACTACTTTAAGTCTGATATTACCATCCTGACTTACTTCTACAAGAAACATTATGTTAGGGTGCACAGGCAGCATGATTATGTGCTTTATTTGTTTAAAGCTTTTTCAATTTGCATCGAATAAACTGGAGAGAAATGCTGTAGTAAAAGTTATGTCTATCAGATTAATGACTGATTAAGCTCTTTACATTTTCTGGGATGGGGGCAATTTCCACAAAGCTCTGAAACCTGTGTGGCCATATGAGAAGCAAGAGAAGGCAGTCTCCAACAGTTTGTCTGTGTACAGCCTTGCCTGTATTTCTAAGAACTGCCCAAATACCAACAGTTTAGACACAGGTCTGTTAAAGCCAGTGTCAGTGCACTTTTATGCAGGTCTTGCTGATGGCTTCTGTTGATGTTCTCCTGTAGGTGACAATTCAGGTTTTGAATCAGCTGTTACAGAAGATAAGAGAAGATCTCCCAAACCTTGAGTCTACTGAAGAAACGAAACAGATTAACAAACACTTTCTCAACACACTGGAGCACTTGCGTCTGAGGAGGGAATCATCAGAATCTGAGGGGCCAACTTATGTAGGTCTTATTCTTTAGGCGGATACACACTGTAATTATTTCTTTTTATTTACATACCACATGTTGGGTTGATTGGTGTCAGGTTGGTTTGGTTGGTGTCTGGTTGGTTGGGTTGTTGGTTTTTTGGGGGGGGGTTTCTCGTTGTTGTTTGCTTTTTGGGTTTTTTTTTGTTAGATTCATAGGTTGTGCCTTTCAGAAATGTCAAGTTAACATTCATGTGTTCAATCTGGCACTTCAAACACTTGTGTTGAGTACTTTAACAAACTTGAAAGGTTGGACCAGCAACTGTAGGTTTCATCGGTTAGCATGGCTGAAACTTTCTTTGAAATCCATGTGACATGGTAGGGCTCTTCAGGTTCTGATTTCTCTTCTGTCTGTTCATTGTTGCTTCTGTAGCACTAGAGTTCTAAATTGGCAGTGACTGTCATCTGAAACTGTGTCTGATCCTTGTGGAGCATCAGTTTTTTGGCATTATTGTAAAATTCTGCTTGTGCTTTTTTTTTAATGCAAGTTAAGACTAAGTGTAATATTTTTCCCTAAAAGCTAGAATATATTAATGCATGTTTGGAGAATTTTAATGTACCATGTTCTTAACCAGAATTTCTATTTTGCATATTAAGGCTCTGTGACATTTGGTGAGGGCCAGTACTGTGCACAGGGCATATTTATCAAGATAACTGTTCCAAATAGTATAAAAATAGAGAACTTGTAATCTGTAGATATGTATAACCTTCATTACTGTAAACTTAGGGGAAAATGCATTACACAAGTTTACTCAGTATCATGATTTTCCACCAGTGAAACAATAAAGTTGATATTAACACATTTTGTTTCATGTCTCTTCAGAGCCCACTGTTGAATTCAATGTCAATGTTGAACCTTTTGATAAAAGCAAAAGAACTTCTTTTTTGTAGGGACAGAAAAATCAAGGCATAGTTAACCTGAACAAGCTGGGAGGCTACTACCATTTCTGATGTGGAAGTTTATCATTCAAACCCAATATTTTCCCAACTGATGCTGAGATGGTGTGCATTCACATTTCAGAATTGTTTTATATCATATCTTGAGAGTGGTAGAAAACTCTACTGGGTTCTAGGTCTGTGCTGGGGTGATGAGTGGCAATTACATGAAAAGCCATAGGAAACAGAGTGGTAGAGCAATTGCCAATGGCAACTCCTGTGAAAACTGATCTTGTCTGTAAGTTAATGCCAGTTGCTGAAAGCTTTGAAAAGCTTGTTTTGCCCTAACTGAATGTAATGTTCTAAAGCTTAACTAATTGAACTTCCTTGTTTCTTGAGTTGTGAAAATTGTCCTGGCTTGATTGGATAGTGAATGAGACTCCAGTAATTTAGTGTAACCTGTTGTATGAAAAAGGCAAATATGGTCCTAAGAAATAGGAATTAGGGAGCAGACAACAATGACAATTAGATTCTTGATTTATTGATTTGTAAGTCTAGCTTGGAGGAGAGGAGGAATGAGCAGATGATCTAATGGCTTTACTTGCACAAGTGGTATAATTAATGCTGTTGAAAAACCTGAGTTGTTCTACATCTGTTAGTAATGTTCCTCCTAAGAGAACTGTTAAGCTGATTTTTTAATTTTTTTTTAAATCATAAAACATCCATAGTAGAACATGATCATGTTTGTGTAGATCCATTCATGTAGTAGCAATATGCCCTCCTAGTATACAGTATTTGCTAACCATGTTTGTTTAATGATCAAGGTTGGTTCTTGTAAGTTTGGAATTGTATTTGAGTAAGTTTTGCGGTGGTTTCAACTGCAGTAACCCAAATGCTGTAGCTAGTGCTTTTTCCTGTGTACTACTTGTTAAGGCTACAAAGCTATGACTTGTCCACAGTTCTTAATTGCTTTTATTGAAATTTTACGGAGTAAATAATTTCAAAATACTGTCTGTAAACTTTAAGATCGACTGTACTAATATGCATTTTGGCTGTGGCAATGGACAACTGCAGCTGTTCAATAGCTATCACTTGTCAGCAAAGGAAAGTGTCTGTTAAGCTATGTAGGAAATGCTTATGATGGTGGAAACAAACTTGTATCATTACTGATGTTCAAATTGATACCTCTTGTGGGACAAATCTAGTCAAAACTCGGGATCTAGCTGCGTGAGCTTCTCTAGTGACAGAGGCAGAATGGCAGGAACAGTACGTAGTTGTTCTTGTCTTTCACACTCATGGTAATAGCAAGGCTGTAAATTTTAACAGACTTCTCCAAGTTGTGTCATTCATGATGCGTGACTTGGCAAATGTCTAAACAATTCAAGTAATACTTTTTTTTTTTTTCCCCCAGAAAGAAACCGATCTGGTTCCTCTTGTCCCATGCTTTTCCTAGGCACCAGTATTTAGTTTTTTGCATTGGCCATGATCTCATCTGGCTTGTCACTAAGTGGAGAAAAAATCATCCTACGTTTAACAGCTGAGACCCTTGGTGTCCTAGAGTTGGTTTGGGGGTAAAATATAACAGGTCCAATGTTAAGACTTTATGAAATTCCTTAACAGTATTTACAGTTATGAAATGTGAGAGAGCCTGAACTCTTATTATTGGCCATGGATGTTTTATTCCTTTTTCAGCACTTTAATGCTAGTGCACTGTTACCAGAAAAATATACTGTTGGCATAATTCCCAAAGTGCTTTGCGAAATTATCTTTTAATTGCTGTGATATCTTCAGCTACATGGATGACTGTATTTTTGTATACTCATAAATCTTTACACTTGTACCTAATTGTCAGTATTCCTAAACTACCCAGTGCATGTTGAGCTTAATATTTGTAGGTGAATATTAGCCAGTTTATACTCCCACTGAAAGGAAGATATATTGTCAGCCTTCACACTTTTCACATAAAACTAGGAGGATGAATTTGGGCTTTTTCTGGACACAGGAGGTTTTATGGAGACTTTCCTAATGCTCATGTGACACGGTGGATAAAGAACAGGGTTAATGGGCCTTGAAACCTTTTTAGGGAGGAGAAAGGCTACTTGTTCTTTTTTTCTCTTCTCATGTTTGTGTCTGTTAGTAGGTCTGAAAAAAAAAAAAAAAAAAAAAACCAAACCACCCTTCACTCCCTCCCTCTCCCCCCCCCCCCCCAACTCATTTTACAGTCTTCTTGACCAGGTGATAGGTTTTCTTTTCTGAGGGTTGTGTATTTCCTGATGTTGAGGGTAAATACTTTATGTAACAGTGATGAAAGGTGTAAAGTATAGAGAACAAAAGCAGCAGTGCATACAGTGATCATCTTCAGCACTGCATTTCTGGTCAACCCTTTCTGAGCTTGAGAGAGGAGTGAAGTCACATGTTAACAGTATCTCAAACGTGGCTATATTGGGAGATGGCCCCCTCAGTCACTTCATATTGACTTAGGAGTGAGGGTTTATACCAAGCTTACAAGTATCACAGAAAAGCTATTTCTGAAATATACATTCCAACAAATGGTATTAAGGTGGCTGGGTATGTTTTGAGGATATGCAACAAATCTTAAAAGCTAGAAAGCCAAGCAAACAACTGCTGTTATTCCTAGAAGTGGTTGTCACCAGTTCCTTATGTATTCAGTTGAGTTACTTGTGGCATCAATTTACAAAGCATCTAAAAACACTTTAAAATCTCCTTATTTAGAAATTTTAAATCATTAAATATAAAATATATAAAAGGATATAGCTTCCCCCCCCCCCTTGTGAAAATCATACCACAAGGAATGATTACAAGCTCAGGAGTGTTGCATCCCAAATAGAAGGAAGTGCAGCAGGAGGGCCAGGAGACCTCCTTGGATGGAAAAGAAGCTGCTGAGAAAACTTTGAGGGGAAAAAAGAGGCTTATAAAAGGTGGAAGCAAGGACAGGCGGCCTTGGAAGAATACAGGGATGTTGTCTGGAAACCTAGGGATCAGGTTAGGAAAGCTAAGGCCCAGTTAGAATTAAACTTGGCTAGGGAGGTTAAGGGTAACAGGAAGGGATTCTATAGGTACACTGCAAATAAAAGACAGACTAGGGACAAGGTGGGCCCTCTCTGGAAGCTGTCAAGAGAACTGGCTACCCTGGATTTGGAGAAGGCTGAGGTTCTTAATGACTTCTTTCCCTTGGTCTTCACTGGCAAAGGCTCTGACCACACCACCCAAGTCTTGGAAGGCAGATGCAGGGACTGTGAGAATGAAGACCTTGAGCCCCCTGTAGGAAAGGATCTGGTATGAGACCATCTTAAGAACCTGAATGTACACAAGTCCATGGGACCTGATGAAATCCATCTGTGGGTCCAGAAGTAGCCGGTGAATGAAGTTGCTAAGCCTGCTGTCCATCATATTTGAAAAATCATGGCATTCAGGTGAAGTTCCTGATGACTGGAAAAAGGGTAATATAACCCCAGTTTTCAAGAAGGGAAAAATGGATGACCCGGGGAATTACAGACCACTCAGTCTGACCTCTGTGCCTGGCAATATGGCAATATCTTGGAGCAGATTCTCCTAGAAAACATGCTAAGGCACATGAAAAACAACAAGGTGGTTGGTGACGGCCAGCATGGATTCACTATGGGGAAATCCTGCCTGACCAATTTGGTGGCCTTCTATGATGTGGCTACGGAAATGATGGACAGGGGTAGAGTAGTTGGTGTCATCTACGTGGACAAAAAAGCGTTTGACACTGTCCAACACGACATCCTTGTCTCTAAGTTGGAGAGACATCAGTTTGGTGGGTGGACCACTCAGTGGATAAAGAACTGGCTGGATGGCTGCACACAAGGAGTTGTGGTCTGTGGAAGCAAGGAGTTGTGGTCTGTGGAAGTGTGGTTAGCAGGTAAGGGTTACGTTCCCATGGCTGAACTTGGCCAGGGACCAGTTTTGTAAAAGTCAGTGAGAAACCCAGCTCGGTAAAAAGCACCAGCTGTGCAGGGGGATAAACTGACCTTGTAGTTAACGAGTATCCTGAAGGGAGGAACAAGGATGTTAGAAAAAGGGATGTAACCACAGGAGTTTCCCAAGAATGTGTGTGTGTAGCAATCCAGCTCTATATATACCCTAGGCTTAAGCAGAATAAATGGATCACTTTTATCAACCATATTGGTTGTGCTGTGTTGTCTCCGCATCGCGACGACAT